TATAATGTATAAAATTTATATAGAAATAAATTTTTATTTATATATACATTATTCATCTGTATACATTAAAAATATAGTATATCAGATAAATTTACTAATTTGGTTTTAATAAAATAACATAATAAATAATTTTATTAGTAATATTTTAATAAATTTATAATATAAACTATACTTTTTAATTTACATTAGGCCTCCTAAAATATAAATTTATATACTCCAACACTCACAGTAACTTCTGTTCTGTCTGGAGGTATCTCGAGCGATATCTCGCGACCCTCATTAAATATATATTTAAAAAATAATAATAAAAAGAAGAAGAGAATATTGGAAGGGAAAATTGACAGATTTCAACTAGTAAAGCAGAAGCAAAGGTAGAACAAAAGATTGACTGCCTTTTTTCTCTCTTCTTCTACGTATTTCTTCCACCTGAAGCACGGAGCGTCTCTGGACCACAGCACTGCGAGAGACAGACCCTCTAAAGAAAAGAATATTGGCTCAAGAACCACAGAAAGAATTTGAGAAAACAGCTTGTCTTCAGAGGAAGAAGACATGGGTATTCTCAAAGACGATGTGGTCATCATTAGGTCGCCGGAGAAAGAAGGTGGCCCTAGTATTGTCACCGTGAATTGCCCTGATAAAACTGGGTTGGGCTGCGATTTGTGCCGCATCTTGCTCTTCTTTGGTCTAAGCATTGTTAGAGGGGGTGAGCCAATGAAATGGATCTATCTATATGTGTTTCTCAATAATTTTCCCATTTTTGGGGAGAGTATTTCAGTTTAGTAGAAATTTGGGTTTTGAAATTATTCATTTTTATGCTACTAGGAAGCAGGACGAAGGTTAAAGCTTCTGTTTTTTTTTTATAAAGTTTGCTTTTGTTTTTGTGGTGTAGATATATCTACTGATGGGAAATGGTGCTACATAGTGTTTTGGGTAGCGACCAAATCGTCTGCAAGATGGGATTCCTCAAGATGGGAACTTTTGAAGAAGAGAATGGTGGGGGCATGTCCTTCCTGCTTCTCAGCATCTGGAATTTCCTATTACCGATCAGAATTGCAGTCACCAAATCCTCCTGATGTGTTTCTGCTCAAGCTTTGTTGTTATGATAGAAAAGGGCTTTTACACGGTATTGGCTTTTCTCCTTTTCTCTTTAACTTTTTGGGTTTGGAGTTTAATTATCCCAGATACAGCTTGATTTTTTAAGTTTTCATTTTGACTTGCATAATTGTTTCATACCATTTATAGATGGCCATAATCCAGGTTTCTTTGATCTTTTCTGTTGATCTTCTAGTTTTTCCTCTAAACTCTGCATAGTCGTTCAAATATTTTAGGGGAAAAGGACACTATATCCAATCCATCTATTCAGAATTCATAAGGGGCATGAAGGGATAGCATTTAGCCACTGCTACATGGCCTAAAGTTTTTCCATTGTGATGTGGTGTTTTATTGAAGCTTGCATACTGAAATGTTCCAAGAAATACAAACAAAATTAAGTTTTAGAGGTTTCTCTTGGCAGATGTGACAGAAGTTTTATGCAAGCTTGAGCTCAATATAAAGAAAGTAAAGGTGTCTACAACCCCAGATGGAACAGTGATGGACCTCTTCTTCATTACAGACACCAGGTTTCACTTCTTTAATATTACCTCCGTAAAAGTATATTATGCAGTCTTCCTCGGCTCCTAGCATCATTTGCATTTAAGTTGTTAGTGTAAGAGCCACTGATTTTACATTATGTTCATTAACTGGGATCTATTAGCTTACTTAAAAATAACTGAAAATGGTTTGGAATAATTATGACACTAGAGTACAGTTTTAGCATGATTGTCAGTCAAACTACATAATATTTATGTAAATGTGTGCATTTATATTTGCATAGAAGAATTCTTAAACTTCAGTTAGGTAGAAAAGAAGCCAGGCTTTCAAACCAATTTCTCCTATAGCTCAACTTTCGATAAGTTCACTAAGTATTAAAAGGATTATATGGGTTACTGTATTTAATAAACTGGTATTCTGATAGGCTGCTGCATCCAATGGTCTCCTATTATTACTCTCCTTTAAGTTTTAAGGTGTTGTCTTGTTTATGTTGTTCTTAAGGTTCAAACTTCACAAATTGACAGTATATTTTTCTTTTATTTTTCTTCTATATCAGGGAACTATTACATACAAGGAAGAGGAAGGAGGAAACCTCTAAAGCCATAGGCGAAGTTTTATCGGATAACATGAGAAAATGTGAGATAGAAATGGTTGGCCCTGAGATCGCTGCTTGTTCGACAACGTCTTCATTTCTCCCAACTGTGATAACAGAAGATATTTTTCCCATGGAAATTTCCAATGATCTTCCAAGTGTAGCTCTAGCCAACAGTGTTTCGGTTGTTATGGACAACTCTCTCAGTCCTGCTCACACGCTTGTTCAAATTGTTTGCCAAGATCACAAAGGTCTTCTTTATGACATAATGAGAACTCTAAAGGATTACAATATTCAGGTAGATGCATTAAATATTTCAATAGCATGGTGTATTCTTAAGAAATTACATGCTGGTGTTAATTACAGTCATAGGCACCCATCTGATCTTTTATTTTGGAAAAGATAGGTTTTGCAGTTGTTCTGTCTTGAATTGTTTGTAAATTTTTTGTGTTATCTGAAACATTTTGATTCATTAAACACATGAGGGTTCGGTGGATTTTATCTTCTTATTTGTTTCTATTTAGTTTCAACTTTGTTATTTGCAATCACTTAGTGCCCCAGTTGAGTGGATGGATTTGTTCTTGATGTGCTTAAATATATTGATTTTAGTTCTTAATGCATGCTTCCCCATGCCTTGTTTATAACTTCTTACTAAATCTTGAGAGCAACTTTTAATTGTTTAATTCTCAAAAGGAAAATGAAGAGTTGCATTCTTATACACTAAAAACTATTCTATGGTTTTAATGCTTTGAATTTTGTTGCATAACCAGATTTCTTATGGGCGCTTCTATATTCTACATGGAAAGAAGTGTGAGATTGATTTGTTTATCATGCAAGCTGATGGTAAGAAGATTGTTGATCCCGGCAAGCAGAGTGCGTTATCCTCTCGTCTACAGATGGAACTGCTCCAGCCGCTCAGAGTAGCTTTGGCGAGCCGTGGTCCTGATACAGAGCTTCTGGTTGCTAATCCTGTCGAGTTTTCTGGGAAGGGTCGACCTCTTGTTGTTCATGATATTACCCGTGCTCTCAGGATGCTTGATACTTGCATCTTCTCGGTATTTCTCATCTCTATGCCATATGGTTACAGTATGCATCACATTCATTTATTTTAAGCCTCTTAAAGGCTTAATTTATGATCAGTGTGGAATTATGCTTTTAGTAATTTGTCTTGAACGCATTACATGTGCTGAACAGTTTTGATAAGTAAGCATGTCTTATTTAAATGGGGAACTGACCACACCCTGATCAACAATTATTTCAGTTTTGTTTTGCATAAGGAAAAGCTAACAGCTTCTGCTTGTTCTATAGGCTGAGGTCGGGAGGCACATGATTGGAGATCGGGAATGGGAAGTCTACAGAGTTCTATTGGGTGAAGGGGATGACTCTTCTATTCCACGAGCCAAGATTAAGGAAGAAGTTTGGAAAATGTTGATGGGATGGGAGTAACCATGTAAGGATGATGTGTTGGGTGTAACAACGTAAAGTTGATTTGTTGGTAGTAACCATGGCTGCCATGTGGTTCCTCTTGGATGGAAATGGCTCCTTGTACAGTACCTCTGATCTGCCCCCAATGCCTATAGATGTAAATTATCAGTTGTATGCTGTTAAAATCCCCATCTTACAGTTGCAGCTTTTGTGGGACTAACTTCAGCATGAGGATGAGGAGTTGACAGCAAGGAGATAAGGAAATAGTAAAGCTTTCTTGTCAACTTTGGAAAATTATGGAACAGAAGTTAGAATCCATTCACATTTTATGTAAATATCTCTTCTGTGGGTCAGTTGAGATAATATCAAGCAATCCGACAAATCGTCTGTATTTTGTGTTCCCCTTTCTTGTGCATAAATTCTGTGTAGAAAAGGCTGTTGGAGTAGCATTTTACTGTTTCCGCATCATTAAATCTGCCACGTGATACTATGGTGCCACAAAAAAAAATCTTTGCTCTGATCTTTTCTCCCAGCTTTGTAACATTTTCCTTTGTGTACTGATGTTGGTGTCTCTATTGTCTCAATCATTTCAGAATGTAAGGGTTGTCATTTTGCATTCAAAGATATTCTTAGATGATTCTTTCGAGTAGTATCAAGGGAAGGGGATCCCATCCCTAAATATCTAGGATTTGCTTTTTGATTCTCTTGAAAAAGATTTTTTTAGCTAGAAATTGTTGCTGTTTGGAGTTAGGACAAAACAACTTCTGGCCAACCCAAAATTTTATTGAACAGAGATTATTTTCTCAAATAGGAAAATTTTCCTAACAAACCAGGAAGCAGAAACTGTTTTTCCAGTATCTGAGGTAGATTATTTTCCCTACTCCTTGAAACCAAGTCGACGTACATGTTGCAATTGCAGTTTTCATTTTCATAGTCTCCGGTATATCCCCAACCTGTGCAGGATTCCAGCTAGTACACTAAAGAATGTGATCTCAGCAGATAGCACATAAAGGAGAATGCCCACTTTCTCTGTGTTGGACGCATCTATGAAGGCATGATCTTTGATCCAAGTAACCTAAGCAAGGGTTGATTTAGACAATTAGGTAAGATTTAAGAAACAAAAACAATGAAAACGGATCGGTTTAATGAAACTAAACATTTAATTAGAAATATAGTAAGTAGTACTTACAAGCGTCTTATCAGTGTGCTCATAATACCTTGTGCCCCCAGCACAAATATCAGCATGGAATTTCATCCCTATCCATTCTACGAATAAAAATGGAGTCCGAAATCACCAAACATCGATCTGTTTTATGTACAAGGGCAACCTTTATCTGGTATAGAACATTAGATTATTTGGAAAAATTTGGATTGTGTTTCTCTGGTTATACCAACATGTAAGAGTCCAGAAAATATAGTTGCTGCTGCGCCAGCTGTGAGACAGACATAGCTGATTGTATACAGCCGTTTGTTTATAGGAATAGCTGCAAACCAGGGGAAAAGGAACTTATCCTAGTTTGATGCATGATTTATAGAGTGACTAAAAAGCCAGATTTCCATAAGCATAACTAGGTAAACTGACCATGTGTAAAGTGAAGGATGAAGGCTAGAACAAGCAAACAAAAACCCATTGAATTGCAGCCTGTTATAGTGATCCTGGGAAAAAAAAATGGCATTCTTTATTTTAACTGTTTAAACCAATGGGTGGAGCAATGTCTATTGTGGTCATGTGGATAAGTTGGTTTGCAAGCTCTCATGAGATTAGTCAAGTCAAAAATCCTGACTCATGTTATTAGGGAAAAAAAAAATCATGATTCAACGGCAGCTAAAGTTGCTTACCTTGAAATGAACCACAACGTACCCATAATGGATGCCAATGGTATTTGAGAGAATAGCTGAGATAGAACTGAAAGAGGAATGAAAGAATATTCTAAGTCCAGCTCAAAGCAATCTCCCCTGCTTTACACAGTATGGAGTCATAGGTTTTGATATATCGACAGACCTTAACAAGCCTTCTGGGTCAAAACTAGCATGGCACCAGCTTGGAGCATCCTCCCGGAGAAGGCCTGAACATGGAGAACTGAGAGTACGAGCCTACAAAACAACAGACTGACCCTGATTTGATTTGATACAAGATGCTGGAAAGGTGTAATGGAAGATTAATCCAGGTTAGGACCAACATGCAGGTGTTTCCAGACAGGGTTATGGTAGAGATAATTGATGCCCCAAACTTGTCTATCCACATAACCAACAGCATTGCAGGCAGATCCAAAGTGTCCTCTCATTCCACATTTAACCTAAAAATTAATTGTACAAAAAGAATTCAGTTTCCAATGTATTTGTTTGCTTCATTTTGCGCAGTGAGAATTTGTGCCATGAACTACTTAAGCACATACAGTGTATTTCTTTGCTCCATTCTGGTCTTGTACCACAAAACTTCAATCTAGAACATAAAATGAATATGTTGTGATCATGTAAATGAGGATTGAGATCAGTCCTCCAATCCTAGAATGCAAAAAGACCAGAAACGATCAATTTCTCACAACCTAAAAGCAACTTTCAGTTTCATGGTTTAAGTACTTGGATCAAAGGTTAACTTTTCCATAGAATTACTTACTGCAAGCTTGATGTTGCTTTCCACTAATTGCCATTGATAGGCTGTGAAAATGGAGAAAGTAAATGTCCAGGACCTAGCGAAATTGGTCTGCACTTTATCTTCAGAATCTCTATTAGAGCAACAACAAAATATACCAAAGCTATTCTCTGCTTACGCATAAGAAGTCAGTGATAAGAATAAGTGTGTTAAGCACACAATTTGAAGCTTTCATCGTAATTGAGAAGATTTCATGTGATTGATCCATTAAAAGGGCAAAGAAAAGACCTGGAGAATGCCACACCATCTAATATGCTTCATGTCAATCCCACAAGATAGATCAATATTTTCAGCTACTACATGTGAGTATCCTCCTGAAGTGTTTGAGGTTCAGAAACACCATTTATTATCATGCCATGAAGACTTTGTCTGTGTCGGAATCCACTAAACCTCAACAGAAGTGGGAAATTCTATAGTACTTATCTTGTAAAAGAATTCCCCAAAATAGTAGCTTTAATGTCCTTAGTGTTATCTTCTTGACAGCTTTTTTGATATCAGGAATTTTCTGAAAGGAGTAGTTTACTATCAAAGAATGGAAATCTGATGACTTGATGACTTGATATATGGAATATGGGATGAAAAGGAGTAAGTAAACCTTGAGAGCAAGGGCAATTGCAACGCCAACAATAAATGGAAAAATGGCATCACAAAGTCAGCAAACATGCTGTCCTCCCATGGCGCGTCATCAAGGACTGGATATACCACCACAGCATGGTCTACCAGTATCATAATCTGCATGAACACACTCAAAAAAAAAAAAAAAATCAGAATTCTTGATGGAAAAGGTTGCGTAGGAAATAGGCAACTTACAACTTTGGTAAGGCTTCTGAATGCATCCGAGAGTGCCACCCTCTAACTCTTCTGCTTCTCTAGTGGTTGCTCCGCCACCTTTTTTTCACCATGAATTGCACTCTTCTCCTCCTCTGCATTGTTCATGCAATATCTCCATAATCACCATCATTGCTTGCCTTCTCATTGTGATTAGATTTAACATCTTCGTTAGCTGCCGGAGTGTGACTTAATCCTGCTTCAATTCTGCTAGGGTCTTCCATGGCAGCTGCTTACTACTACAATGCACCATTCTCATTGCCACCTGACATTTAAGCTTTTGTCATGATCGGCATCAATATGTTCCATGACAGGGAAAGACAAAGAGATGCCACTGACAGGAAAAATCAAGGGCCAAGGCATGATGGCAAGACCTACAGAATCATGGTGCATGGTGGCGGCAGCTAACAGTCAAAACAGCCTTCTGCAATCGGAAATGATATGGTTACAACGCGAGGTGGCCTTGTAAACAAATCCCACGGCTGTTTTGATATTCATGTTTTATTTTTGATAATTTAGTCCTAAAATTTTAAGTTTTTGACAGTTTAGTCCCGATTATTTTAAGCCTTTCCATGGATAGTCCCCTGGATACAGAGCTGTTCTCCAATTTAATATAATCCAAAATTCAAAATTAAGAGTTTTTCAAGAAAAAATGGTTTTTTCAATTTGGGTTGTGAAAATATTTAAATACCCTTATGAATGTTTTGGTGCATTCATAAGTACAATTAAGATAAAAAAACATTAATATCAATGAGGTGATTCAATAGTTAAAAGTTTGAGATTTCAAATTGAAAATCTCAAATTTGAATTTTAATCTTAAGTCAGGTGGGAAGGGATTTAAAAATAAAGAAAAATTAT